TGTGTGTGTGTGCGCGTCTGTGTGTGGCAGAGCGCCGCGTCAGGGAGACGGTAATGTGAAGTGACGGCGCCGGCTCCTCAGCAGCGTGGCTAAATTGTGGTTATTTGTTAAACACATTGGGAGTCAGCTGGTGCACGCGCACGCACACACACACACACAGAGCAACAGTGTGCTTGAAGCATCTGCACAGCTGACATTCAACAGCTCTATCCGTCTCTTTCTTCCTTTATTATTATTTTTTTTTACTCTCTCATCTGATGTGTTTCAAACAGTCAAGCCCACACTGATCTTATTCAACCCAGGCTTTATGTACACATTTAGACAGAGTGTACATAGTAATATACTGTAGATACAGTATAAAGGTTTCAGTCTAATAGCCAATTAGATTCACACCAGGGGAAGTCAGGGGAAATTGATCAATTCTGCTGTGAAGTGAAGGAACATCGGGAGATTTTTCCGGAGCATATTTGACAGCTTGTTCCACACATTCATTGCATTAGATTGAGGTATTTAGCTGTTTCATTCCACTGCAGGGGATAATAAAATACCAGACATAATTTTATTATATGATTTTTGTCATTTCTTGTTAATTGGTATGTGCTATCATATAAGATTTTAGTCTAATGAGGTGAAAAAGTAATGTTTTACTTATCCTCTTAAACCAATTTTTACAGCCTTATTGAGGAATATATTTTTACCATAAAAAAAAAGTCATGTTAAACTAATGAGAATATATGTTTTGTATGTAGAGTTATGTGTCTAATATTATAAAATCTTTTTTAATCTAAAATCATAGAAATAACCGTGAGTCCTTCTCAGCTTTCGAAGCCACGCGGCTCACGCTCACTCCTGTTTCCACAGCCCTTTGGCTTTGTGCTGCGTGAGTGTGAAGCCGGCGAGCTCTCGGCATTCAGATACAACAGTGTCATCCCTGACACACTCAGAGGATTAGTTTTGTCGCTACTTTGTGTCTTGGCTCCAGTGTCAGCCATTCAATCCACTTTTCTCATGTACTGTACTGGGGCTTAATGTCAGACTAGCCTGTCATCCACTCTGTCTCCCCGTTCATCTCTGTCTCTGTCTCACACACAC